ATAAAAGTCCTGATAAACATGTAATTTGCCATACTTAAGTTCAAAATATGTAGCATGAATATTATGATCATCCTTGGTTCCCTTCATGTAGCTACACGATCATTGCCTGGGTGAGAATATATGCGAAGAGTGAGGAAGAAGAGGTAATTTACATCCTTTTTTTGTCGTCCATGAAAAAAAAAATCTCAGTATCATTTTTTTTTAAGATAAACAATGAACTCTTTATAGATGAGCTAGATGAAGTTTGTCCGACATTTTACAAAACGAACATAAATTAAACCCACAGCAGAAAATTGAAAATTGATCGATTATATATTGGTTTGTTTCCTTTCTCTAAGGAAATGATATCTATACAAGGTATTGAAATTGGTTCATGATAAATACTTCAATCAGCTTTCATAGAAATGGCACTGGAACACTGTGCTTCTTGTTTACATTGGCCATGGCCATGTATCGTGTGCGCATTCCTATGGGTGCGTCTTCGTCAGGCCCTTCCCAGAAGGGTGCCTTGTCTTCACCTACTAAACGCCAGTAACCAGTCCTCAGAGCCTCGGCCTGCTCATCAGTGCTGTTTTCTAGCAAGGCCTGGACTCGAGAGTTGATGCCAAGTGAACCCAGAAACTGAGACTGGGTCATTGGGCCGTATACAGCAACATCTCCTGCGGTAAAGATAGAAATTATCAATCTGATTCTACTCCTCCCTTCAAAGAACAAATATAGAAAATGGAAAATAGAAATGAGAACCAACAACCTAGGATCTTCTTTACATCCCAGAAATGCAGCAAATTTTTTAGAGAAAGAGCACTGCATTAATTGTAAAAATGAGAGTATACCAGAGTGCCGGGGAGTTTGAAAGCCCTGGAAAACTCTCTTTAAGCTTAGTGTTAAATCACCATTAAGCCAAAAGCTTCAGTTGATTATCACGTTTAACTTGATGATTTAATGATCTGCTAAAGATGAGCACCTGAAATGTCCTTCGCAGCATGCCGTATAGAAGAAAAATCAACATATGCACTAAGATCAGCAGAACCAGGATTGTCGAGGATGTCAACGAACGTGTGTTTTCGAATTGCCTGCAAAAGTTCATAGGGTATCAAACCATTTCAAGTTTATTAATGCATTATAGTATATTTAACAGAAATAAAACCTCAGATAATAGACACTAAGAACAGCCACCATGAACGTTTGCTTAGCACTGGCATTTAGCAGTATAATAATCTGAAGCAAAAGAAAATTCATGACTGATGATAGCAATTTCCCGAACCTGCAGACTATCTGAAACAACTCCATTAAGGCCATAATCAATAATAAGAGCGCCACCTCCATCAGAACTTATTCTACGTGTAATAGTTTGAGTCAACTCCATTCCTTTGGGGCAAATCTCAATCTGATCAACATTAGCGATCTCTTCATTTGAAGAGTATTTGTAGCGTTTCATCAAAAAGATAGTTGCAGGTGTTGGTTCGGGAGATGGAACAAATTTAAACCTATATGATTTGTACAAAAATTGTCAAATAAATTAGATTAAATTTGCAAAGAGACTAATCACAGAACAATGCCATTAATCCTTACTTGGAACCTTCTGCTACGTCTACCATTTTTTCATACCAGCCACGAGAAGTCCTCTAGACGGAGTGAGATATCAATTTCAAGATTGATTAAATAAATAAAATGTTGAAAGGGTCTTCTTCAATGTAAACGAACAATTACTGGACTTAAATACAAAACATGGATATTCCTATGATAAGTGATCCATAGGGAGGTATCTACACTTCATGTGTTGTCATACATTCACTTACTAAGAAAATAGACAAAAAAAAAAAAAAAAAAAAAAAAAAAAAAAAAAAAAAAAAAAAAAAAAAAAAAAAAAAAAAAAAA